CTGCTTCCCAAAATACCTTGAAAACCTTTGGGCTTTGGTACCACTCCTCATGTACTACAATACTGTATGGTTTTCAGAATGCTTTTTTATATGCTTCAGATTTCTAATGATATCTGATTTCCCAAGTATGTTCATCACAAATGGTACATGTTCAATTGGAATGCAAGAGGAAAAGTTAAAACAATATATCTAATAGGGGAATGTGAAGAAAAAGAGCAAATACTCAAGGACATGAAGTTCAATACACTGCTACTGTTACCTAAGCACAGACTCTCAGCACTTTGTCAGAGAAGTGTGAGGGTTGACAGCAACTTTTATCACATCCTCCCCTTTTTAAAATCCATTCCCCACTCAGGAAAAAAAAAAAAAAACAAAAAAAAAACCTAACAGAATAGCTACAACTGCCTGATTTTTGACATTTAAACATTGAGCTAAGGAGACAAAGCCAATAAAGCCCACACCCTCCATTCCCATACACTCCTTTTCAATAGAAATGAGGGGAGAGGGAACAAATTTCAGACTCCTCCATATACATCTGCTCTCAATCACCAAGGTAAGAGGTCAACTCTTTCACAGGTTATATAGGGAACATAAGACCAATTAGTAACGCTTAACACATAGTTAATGTTCAGTTTGCAACAACCTCATTAATCAGCCTCCGAAGTGGAATCTTTGTTCTGTTCATTTAAGGACTTTGCAACTAAAATGAGATCAGGGCGATGTTTCATGGCAGTATGTTCAAATACATTCCATTATGACTTTGCCTTAATTTTTGCTTTTTACTGTAGGCAATCCTACTTGATTTTGCATATCCAACATAAATAACTTGAAGAACTGCAACCCATGAAGTTAAGGTTTCCCTAGGCACATATTACACATGGAGTAATGTCCAAGACAGTGCTTTCCAAATCTGCACTTGGATTTCAGAAAGGTCAGAAGTCACCACAAGTTACAGTAGATATGACTGGACTTCAGCTCACACATTCTACTACATTCTTTTAATTCTTCGTGGGATAAAAGGATATTTTTCTGACAGCCTGTGAATAAAAGCCCATCCCTGGGCAATTTGGAAGTACTGGCTTCTTTCATCTGCTCTTCCAAGGAAGTGCTTTAATTAACCTTATACACATATGCCTATTAACTTGTGAGCATTACTATCAGTTGTGACTGACACTTCCAGATGCTCTTATACTTTGAAAAGGGTAAATGAGACTGTAAAGCCAAACACTCATTAGTCTGGTCCAGTATTAAATGGGGAGGTTGGTAGCCTTGCCTGTGGCACTGGGAGTTGGAGATCAATGATCCTTGAGGTCCCTTCCAACCCCAGCCATTCTGTATGATCCTGTGATCAGTACAGAGATTCAAAATCACTTACAATTTCCTTGAAGGAAAAACTTAACTACATCTTCAAATCTGGAAGCTGGACAGCTTCTTGACTGTTCTCTTTGGTAACAGAATATAAAGGAGGATTCTGTATTTTGCAAAGAAGTACAAACCGAAATGTTGAGTGCTAGCTTTTGTACCATACTGTACTGGTCAGTGAATGGCTGGATCACTTTGATAGATGCAAATGACAAACTGCATTATGCAAACTATGTTTTGTATGACTAAAGGGTGAGAAAATATAGCCCTCAACCATGTTTCTTTGGTTTCAGCATACTGACAATGCTATTGGGCAAGGTTTAAGCCTCCTAATCAGTTTAAGTGTCTGTTCAGCACTCACTCCAATACAATTTACAGACTACATTCATTTATCTGCTTGTATTTGTATTAAAATATCAGTGCTGTGTAATCATGATTGATGGTTTTTTGTTTGTTTGTTTTTGTACTCTCAAATGGTAATAAATGCAAAGTTACAAAAAGAAAAATCAAAAACCAACCCTCACTACAGAGGCGAAAGACTCATTTTTAAGCCTACAGGGGTCAAGTGAAGTAGTCGGATATACCAAACTTTACTAGCCATGCAATTTGCTACGGTCTTTCTGAATTAAATTCTTGTACCTTTTAATAACACAAGCATAAATTCAGTCTTCACACGAAAACAGAAAATGCATTTTTTCTGACTATGATGGTGTAGTAAGGAAATGCTATGAACAGCAGAAGAGGCAGATTTTTTATATCTGAACAAAGATTTCTTTGCTCAAACACATCTTGGAAAATTTCTAATAATCAGACTGAAAAGCCCCCTTCTCTCAAAAAGCATGTTTCCATGAAGGTATTTGATAGGTTAAGTCTCTCTTTAATTCTTTTTTTATTTAAATTAAATCAGATTAAATTTATGACTACAAGTCATGATGACCCAATTTAATATCATTCCTCCTTCCCCAACTTTTTTTCAGTTCCACATTCTCTTCCTGTTCTAACATTTATTGAACCTTTTCCTCAGTTCAGAAGAGAAAATAAAATGTGGCAACAAGATTTAATAATTACAGGGAAAGCATGGTTACTGTCTAATCTGTTACTTACTGTCTAACCTAAACTCCTTTAAACAACAGCCTCTTTGTAAGCCTGACTCTTACATCCTTAGCCATTCTGTCCTTCATTTGTAAGTGTGCTTTTCCTTTTCTTTCTTAGTAATGAGCTAATGACCCATCAGCAAATACTGAATTAATAAGCTACTACTTCCCTGGAAATTTACCTGTTCAGTAGTTAGGATTAAAATTCCAGTTATATCCTACCCACCTCCTCAACTTCCTGTCTGATCTCATTTCACCTCCACAACTCAGAATAGGCTCACAGGACTCATGCCTGCCAGAGGTACCATCAAAATGCTGATAATATCCTAAAAGAGAAAAACAAAAATAACAGTGTTTAGCATATAAACTATTCCATCTGAGATCTCAGTGTGTCTGACTCATAGGAAAGATTAAATATTTAATGAAGAACTGTGCCACGTGGTTTTCCTGTAACACTTTTAAACATTATTCTGAAACATCTCTGAGGTCCATGTTTCCAGAGCACTCAGCTCTCCTCACTTTTCTGATCCAGAACACAAGTACTTTCCTCTGGGATCTTGAATGGTGCTGAGTACTTTGCTGGCAGCTGATAAAGAAGCATTTGCTATGATGGAAGTATCAGCAAAGGAGCCGAAGTGATTTGGTCCAGCCCCAAGTTTCATAACACTCATGGGCTCTTAGCAGCCCAGACTACTCCACCAGCACTGAAGCAAACAGCACTAAATCATAACTAACTCCTAGTCACCTGATGCCAAACAATGCCACACTATAATGCTATATCCACCTCCTAAAAGGAGGCGACTCTTCAGTCAGCTTAAGGGCACCCTGTCTGTCTTGTATCTCTCTTCTTTCTGTCTCACTGAGATGTGCACACTGTCTCTGCTACAAAAGAACAGATTATTCCTCTTTTGTGTCCGGAAAACTCTTTTGTGTCCCCTTAGAGAGGAGAAAGCAAAGCTGTCACAAATGTTGGTCCACCCAGAAGAATGCAGATCTTAGCACAAGTTGCTTGGCTATAGTGGGATGGAGAGGATCAGGTTCTCCACGTATGTGCTGGACAGCATCCTGGGCATAAACTGCCCAGTTTGAGGAGAAAATATTGAAGACTTTCTCCTTCCGTTCCTCTCTTCACAAGCAGTGACGTTATACCTTATTATACACAAGTGATAGCCCTGTGTGAAAATGCAGTTACAAACAGCTTAAGGAATAGAAACAATCCTGTTTCCTATGGGATAAATTACTGCAATCCGAGCAGAGATAGGAAGGATTCTCAGCCACCCTTTATCCATCCGATAAGCAGAGGCAACTTGTTCTTGCACCGGCTTGGTTCCAGCATCGTTTGGAACAACTTGTTTATGAGAGCTGCACACAAGCAGTCTCAGAACAGGCTGACCTGACCGCTGAGTTAGAGCAGGAAGGTTTTTACATCTCCAAATGCCGTATGGCAGCACCCTCACCCAAGAACAGCCCGACTGCCTGCAGGGTCAGTCAGCAGCAGGGCTGTCCTCAGCACAGAGCTTGCTGGTCCTCGCAATCACTCACGTCTCCATCGCCGGTCCCGAGCCAGCCTGAGCAGCTGCCAGGCTGTCACACCGGGGCGGTGCAAAGCCAGGCAGAGATTTCAGACCCGCGTTCCTCGAGCGAATGAGGAAGTTTAACACGTCGTTCAAGAAGCGGCCAACCTCACCAACTAAAAGCAAGGTGTGCTCAGCCCGTCCCAAACACCTGCGGCCGGGTCGTGAGGATGCTCCTACACGAACGCGATCCCCGACACCACAGAAGGGCAGCAGAAGGGCCGTGCCTCAGAGGACGAGCAGGTGACCAAGCAGCTCACCGCCCCGTGAGCTCGGTCGGAGGGCCAAAGCCGACCCTCAGCGACCGGGGCCCGAGCTGCCTGCGGCGGGCACGGCTCCCAGCCCGCTCCGGGCTCCCGAGCCCTCAGGCTGCGCGGGAGAGCACGCGGAGACGCAGCCTTGTGGAGGGCGAAGCGAGCGGCCGAGCACCGGAGCCAGCCCACCCTACGGCTCCCTAACAGCGGCCCGGCCGGACGGAGCTCCTCGGTTCGGACCGAACCGTTCGCTCCGGGCAAGTTGGCGGGAAAGGGGAGCGGGGCTTACCGCCTTACCTCCGCCTCTCCAGGTGCCCGCCACGCAGCGCTCCGCAGCGGAGGCGGGACAGGACGCGACGCCTCAGCGCGGCTACGCGCGGCTCCCCGCGGCCGCCGGCTCCGCCGAGCCGCTACCCCGCGCCCTCCCCGGCTCTGCTCCCGCCGCGCGGCCCCGCTCGCTCGGCCGGGCGCCTGCCGGAGCCCGCCCTCTGTCGGGCGCGGGGCGGCCGCGCGGGTGCTGAAATGGCGGCGCTGCCCTCCTGCCTTCGGCGCCGTCCCAGCCAGGCTGCCCCGCGTCCCGTCTCCGATCCCGCGCGGGGCGGAGCGAAACTTCGCCACGGACTTACCTCGGCTCGGGCCGCGAGCGGAGCGGTGGGTGGGTGATGGGGCGGGGGGGTCTGAGAACCCGAAGCCTTCCCGCGGGGCTCCTGGTAACGTCGGAGCGGTTGGGCTGTGCTGCGGGGTGGTGTGGGTTTAATCGCAGCGGCGTGGGCTGCAGTCTGCAGTCTCCTCCCTCGAGGCAGCAGGATAAGATAAATCGTGGTACTCCTGCAGCCCGTTTGGTTTATCTGATCCCCGGGGTATGTGGGGCCGGCTGACCCTCTCTGCTAAACCCACCTTTGCAGCCGGTGATTGTCTCCGTTGGGAAGCAGCGGCTCTGCAGCTGGGCACAGCCTGCTGTGTGGTGGCAGAGGATGGAGGGCTTCTCATCATCCCACCTGGCCCGGGCTGCTCTGCGCAGAAAGAAGAGATGGGGAAAGGAGCTGCACCCAGCGTGCCCTGTCAGTGCTGTGCCTCGAGGTCACACGTGGTCACACCATCGAGTTTGTGATGGTGACAAGCCAGAGCCCAAAAAGAGCAAGCAACAGACAGAGTTTTTCTCCGGAACCTGAGCCCATGACACTCTTGTTCATTTCTAGTCGTCACAAATGGCTGGAGGTATCAATGGGCTCCAGCCAGAGCAATAGGTGAAGGGGCTGAAGGACAGGTGGCCTTCCAAGCAGGAAGATGCCAGCTGCTCCCTCAAAGCAGCCGGATTCTCTACTGGAACACAGCCCCACAGATATCTCATCAGTGCTCTTCTGCTGCTGGGAGAGAAACCAGCAGCCACCCAGCATCAGTTAGTCTGCTCCAGCAGAGGCTAAGCGGGTGTCAATTCAGTCATAAATGCCATGTTGCTCTAAGCACATACACCAAAGATGCTGAAGCCAAAGGCCTTTCCTACCATGCCAAATGAACAGCTCATGTAATAAATGGGCAGTCTTCAGATTAATTGTTCTCAGTATGAACAAACAGAAATGCAATTTAATTCAGCATCAAATGGTTGAGTTTTGCTGTTTATCCTCCACTGCTAGGAAACTGGACCAGAGAACACAGATGAGGCAGATCACAGTGCTATAGTAATAATTCCTTTCAGAGTTTATTTCTGCCTTGTTTTTCCACTATTCTCTTTTTTTAAAGGACATGCACTTGGAGGAAATAGCCCTTAGTCTGCAAAGAAGGAAGAGAGAACATTGGGCTGAGGAGCTCCTCTTCTCACACCAAAATGACTAGAGGTCACACCAGATGCTTGCCCAGCATCAGCTGGATGGGAGATGTCTGGTAAGTCTGATGCAAACTGTGTGTTTTCCTCTGCAGGAAGACATCTCCAACAGGTGACTACCCTGCAAGTGAGGTCCAAAAACAGCAGAAGGGTTCCTACAAAGTGTGATTGGGCACAGACGTGGCTGTCTTCAACACAGTACCTTCTAGTAAAGGAAAGAAGCAGGAAGGTTTCTGTGGGAATATATCAATACTCAGAAAATTAAAATCATGAACATGGAACAAAGGGGCATATTTAGTTACCCATTAGCAACAATAAAACTTATTTTCATCTAATGGTACTACTTTACTGCAGCTAGCATTGTACTGAGTGAAAATACATTTTTATTACGCTTTCAGCCTGGACACAGTGCACATTTTCATGGTTTTGGTTTTGTTTTTTTTTTCCCCCCATCACTCGCAGCTGCTGTAGGCACATGCAAACAGCTCAACATCCTGAGGCAGCCTGTAGAGTTGCAGCCTCACAGCCCTGCTTTGGGCTCACACAGAGCTGAAAGGCTGTATCACCACTGACAAGTAGCAGTTTGAAAAAGACATAGAAGCTTGCAAAGGGCCTTGCTTTGTTACTGGAGATTAACTTAGGCAAGGAGGGCAGGTCAATGCCCTCTTGTTCTTCCCAGCAGAAAATTCTTGTTTCACTTACTAACAGTTTAAAATAGTGAGAACAGTCTCTGATGGGTTTGTTCTGTTCTATGTTGGGTGTGCCTATGCTTAGATGCTCTTAAATAACCAGGATCTTCCAAGTGGAGCTTACAAGAATCTTCCACTGATTTTTTTCTATCTGAACTTTTGTGCCTGATATGACTAAATCTGTTCTAATTCCTTGGACCTCCAAGTTTGTATAAATCATTTTGTCTACTCTGATATATATTTGCACAGAAGTTGCTGAAACAACTTTGGTTTTGAGATTCGCATTCCTTAACCAATCTCATAAAACAACCTAGCAAAATAGAATTTGACTTGGGAACAAAGAGAAGAGTGGAAATACGGATGTAATCAAAACTCTGTTAAGAAAACTGTTTAACTGGGAAAACAGTACACAGTTAGAACTTGCTTAATCTCCCTTCCTCTGTCAAGCTATAGTTTTGAAGTCTACAATAAACCATAGCTTTGTTAAACTTGATTTAAACGGGAAGGTCATTTTTATTCGTTTCTAAATCAAAATTATTTAGTTCTAGGTCAAGGTTCAGAACCAACTTAAACCAAGGTGAACAAGCCATCACTGGGTGCTGACTGGCAGAATCAGCAAGAACTGCTTAAGAAGTTGCTGTCCACAGTAGTTGGATGCCTCCAACTACTTGGTGATATTTAACATCTCAAAGCTGACTCCATTCCACTGAAAAATAGAGTGTCTTCATTTAGGTCAACCACTATCAACGTCAGTTCAGTCAGGCTGGTTTTGGACTGAAGTGGGTTACAGCAGGCTCTTATGCCAGGTGCTGTAGGCATGTGAAGCTTCAAAACAGTGTAATGAAAGGAACATCTTAGAATTGCAATTTCAACAACTCAATCTGCTTTTGAAGTAAATATATGTTTGCATTTACCAACACCCAATTCTGCATATTTTTGGACTGCCCTTATTACTAATCATAGATCACAAAGCTTTTCTGAAAACAGAACTATGCCATCCTACTGAGCATATGGCCTAAACTAAAAACAAACAAACAAACAAAAACAAAAAAACCCACCCATACTTTAAGTCTTTCTTTTTTTTCCCCCCCCCCACCCCAGTTTTTAAAACGACGTTCAGTATTCCAAAGATGCCTTGTGGAATGGCAAAGGCAGGGGCAGAGATTACAGCAAATTACCTTTTAAAAACGTGCCTACTGTTCACCAGTTTTGGCTCACTGGTTCAGAAGTGTGTATGCAGCAGAATTTCTTGACAGAGGAAGAGAACACATTGTAACCTTGGTTCTACAGAGCATTTCTGTACAGTTGCCTTTAAAAGAGCTTTCCTTCCAGAATGACTTTTCTCCTCTACCCAATCTATTAAAAGTTGGTATTGCAGAGAAGTTGAAAACAAAGAATCAATGTGGCAAAGAAACAATCAGTGCAATTCTGATTAGGTTACAGGCTCAATTCATGACAGATTAAATAAACTTTGTACATAATTTTATCTCCCTGTCCTCATTTGCTTCACCATTTGTTGGCAGCCTGTAAGATCATCCATGTCCACATCCATCGCGACAGAATTGTGATTGCAACAGCTCTTCATTTTTCATAGCACAAATGTCCTGCACATGGTGCCCAGCACTAAATTCTGACTTAGTCCCAAATTAATGGACAATAAAGGCCATCTGCCATAAAGAAAAAATCACCCCGTTATGCTCTTCCATAGGATACTATTGCCTTTTAAATCCTGTGCATGGCATTGAATGCAGCGTGGTTGCTTCTCCAACAGTTATCTGGGTGAGTATAGTGAGGGCTCACACAGGTGTACTGGGATGGGAGAGGAAAAGGAATGCCAGAGAAATTCATGCATCTCTCTGGAGAAGTAGTTATTCCAAAAGGTTTTGGATCCTACTCTCTAAATATGAGCTATTAAATTACCTTGAACAAAACTCCCACTTATGTGGGACAAATAGTTTATCCTTCCCACCACGCACATTTGCACATTTGATCATAAATTTCCTATGTAAAAACTGGATGTAGTGTTTCTGTTTTTTTTTTTTTTTTTTTTTTTGTAATTTATAGGCTTTCTTTTTTTTTTTTTTATATGGAAGTCTGTCTAATGGGCTTCCAGATGCTGTAAATATTTTTAATAGAAAGCCTATAATTTACTCAAAAATATCTGCACTCAGATGTTGCTGCTTTTTTTTCTTTTAATATGGTAAATATACATTGAAACTGTAGGCATTAATCAGAAATACTACAAGAGTGTATCTCCCTCTTATATTTAGGAATTGAACCCCTAGGCCTGATTTCCACTTACACTGAAGCATCACAGCCTAGAAATCTCCTGCTGTTATGTTCTAGTAAAGAACATGGATTGGATAGGGGAATTTCAAAGTGACCTCATGTCAGGAGTGGACACAATCAACTTTTCCACACGCTGGCTCACTTTATATATATATATACGTGTAATTTAGAATCATAGAATCATAGAATGGCATGGGTTGAAAAGGACCACAATGATAATCTAGGACATCCTGCAGCTTGGGGCTGCTCCAGCATGTGTGCTGTGGTGGCAAGCAGCAGCAGTGACTGTAGAGATGCAAAGGCAGCTTTGACACTCTCAGAGGTGGCCCACAGAGCATCTACAGCAATGGCTCCTGCTGTCAGAGCTCCTACTTCCCATCTCAGCTCAGAGAGATGACACAAGCAACGAAAGGGACAATGAAAGAACTCTGAGAAAAGCAACTGCATGGCTGCATAGCAGCTTCATTGGGGCAGGAAACCCTTTTTGTTGATCTTGACTGCAGGTGATGATGATCCTGTCAAAAGAACATTTTCTGGTTCGGTGACTCAGAAATTCCTCAGCTATTCCTCCCGCTGACTCTGCAGGTAATTTTTTGTTACTCGTACAGCAGTTTGTTTCCAGGAGCTGAAAGGCAACATCAGGAACATTTGGTGGACTCCCCATGGTGCCACATTTTGGTGCATACGTGACACTGCTTACTTGCTACTTCTTCAGGCCTGTTGCTGGCAGCAGGCAGTTTGAGTGTTTCTGCCACTTTGATGTTATCTAAGCAGCGTGAGTGATTCTAAAATTAAGCAAGAAACACAGTACCTTAAGGGAAAAGGCAACGTGACAAAATTATTCGCCTTCTCTCTGCATTAGGAAAGCCTTTCTGCAACTCTCAGAGCAAAATGCAATCTTCATGCTAGTAACTCCTTCCAGATTCTATCTTGAATTACCTGGAAACAAATTTTTCCCAATATTTGTAGCTACACCAAGAAAATCTTTTACTGCTTGCAGTGAAGAGGTTATAAACTCATGCAGAGTTGATCAGGAGTGGAACTCAGTGCCCTTTGTCCCCTTGAGATTATTGTTTGCTGTTCCTACCCAGGGAAAAGTAAACAGCAAAATCCAATTACCTTATCCTCTGACTCAAATGCTGCTCAAGCCTTCCCTCAGGACAATGCTTGCATTCAGGCTGCTCTCTGAGCTTAGCTCTGTTCTTAAAATTGCAGTGTCTCCATAAGATTGATTTGCCAGAAATGTGTGGATGAAAAAGTGCTGTAATCTCACTGCATTTTGACAAAACAGAAGTTCCCTCCTTTTATTTTTTGAAATCCTTACTGCCTCTCCATTTCCTCTCTATGACAGGATACACAATTTCATCCTAAGAGTAAACTGTTAAGCTTGTACCAGAAGCTGACGGAGGATGCAGAAGTTGGCTTTCAGATGACAAGGCTTTTCAGGTGATGTGACTACCCAAATGGTTAAGATTGCTTGATGGTAAACAGCAGAAATAGTTCAGTGTTTCCCTGGAACAAGTGGAAAAATTCTATCTCCTCCTGGGGTTCCTGTAACACTAACATAACTTGAAAGGCACTCCGGCAGATCCATGAAGTACATACTGGTTCAGTTTCCTGCTTCATTAAGAACTATTTCATTGAAGATTTTGGTTTTAACCACTCAAGTCAAGTTACAGACGATGTCATGTCCAAAAGCAGTGATCCCATGTAGCTGAACCCTAGAACTGTTGCCTCTCAAGCAGGTGAAAACCATGACTGAAGCTGTCAGCTGAGCTAATAACCCAGCCCTAGGAAGCTGAGCCCTCTTGCAGCCTTTGCTGGCAGCACTGTGTGAGAAGATACAATGCACAATGGCCTTTTTGGGAGAGGAGGAAAGGAGACCTCTGGATAACATCTGCCAAGCTGATGTTTCTACCTAGGCTCAGGCTAGCCACCAGCATTTGCTACAATAGGAAATGGTAAAAAGAAGTGGCCTTCTTGGGATAAAAAGGGGAAGGACAGAGCTATAGTGATATGGAAAGCCAGCAACAGGAACACTGATCATCATTGGAATCCAGCCCGGCTCTGTCCTGGTGTACAAGTGCCACTCAAAGTACACTCCTAAGTGAAAGCAGCCTAAGTGGCTGCTAGTAGATCTTTCTTTTAGTTTTCTTCTCATGTGTTTCCCCCTGCTCTTATATGTTTCTTTCCACTCCTGCCCAGGGCAACAATGATCCTTCCTCCACCTTAAAGATAGCCGTCAAAGAACCATGTGCAGTATCCTGCAATTTGCTCCCTATGCTCAAGTTTCCAATAATACCAGTGTTTAATAGAGGTTATCCCCTTTTCCAAATCCACCATGAACTGTTTCATGCAAAACCCAGTAACTCCATCCTGTATAATCCTGGTATGTCATTATGGGGCAAATACCTCAGAAAAGAAGGAAATGAATGGAGATTGTGCAGATTTTCAGTATTCTGAATATTTTAGCCACATTTTGAATGAAGATTATCAATGAACCAATGCCTATCGTGCTTTGTACCCGAACACAGGTCAACAGCTTGCAGCTATATGAAACGCAGAAAATTTTGTGGTATGTTATATTATAATGCATCAATACAGTTTGGTTATGAACATACACTTTAAAAGATTCACACAATAAATATTACTGCTTGGCGCTTAATCTCATCTGCTGAGTGGTGACACAGGACCTTAGCACTGTTCAGAAAGATGTATAGGCAAGCAGAAAAGATGTCCATTAATGTTATTTCAGTTTCAAGCTGGCCTATTCCCTGTCTAGCTCTGATCTCTTCTTCTATTTAATGACACCACTTGAATGCCAAAGCTAATTTGGAACCTAGCAGCCTACTTATTAAGTGGGACTTTATGACAGGAGAGCATTATGGTGCTACTCAGGCAGCTGCACTGGCTGCCAGAGAGCCTATGGGGAAAATACAAAGCTTTCAAGGCTCTAATTGTTTTGGATCTAGGTTATTTTGTCAGGAAAAGAGGTACTCCACTTTAAGAAGCCTTTACATAAATGAGAGGTGGGAGACAAGGGCACTTGGCTATTCAGGTCTGTTTCTCCTGAGATTAAACTCCAATATGTGCTATTAAGGCCTATTTTCCTGATGGAGAACTGGGAAAGAGATGGTTATAGAAGCTCCATGCAGCGTACAATTAGCTTATGTGCTGAGTGCAGTAGCATTAGCTGGTACAATAGTTAGAGGATGAAATTCTGTTATTTTGAATGTTACTATGAATTAAGAAGACCATTCCATCTTTGGAAAGACACTTTTGTCATGTACATCTTGTAAAATGTACCTAAACGCAATATACTTTTGGAAACTGTTCTTTGAGGGCTCAAGAAAACCAGAACAGTAACTAGTACACATTACAATTCAGAACACTATAGCAGGACTGATCACAGACTTAAGAGTCTTTCTTTCTTTTTTTTTTTTTTTAATAAACAAAGCAAAGGGGCAACAAAAAAGCAGTGCTCTCTTTTAAGAAAAATGAAGTTAACCGACCTTTAATTAATTCTTTTATCTAAAGGTAACACAATTGCCTGCCTTCCACACGAGACTGTAGGGGCTGAAGCATGGACCAAATGCCAGGCTAGCGAGAGACCCTCACTTCAATGCTGAGCATCAAGAAGAGTGGGCCAGTGCCCCAAAGAAGGACTCAGACCATGGATAGGAGGTGCTCCCTCACTGCACATGGGGGAAAAACACCAGAATCTCACAGGTTTTGCAGCTCTTCCTACCAGCTGTTAAAGACAGACAAGGGACCAGTACCACCTTCAAAAGGGTACAAGATGCTCCTTTGGCAGTTGAAGAAAACCAGCAAATGCAGATCCAAACTACAGTTATGCCACGGATCTTACATTTTCCAAAGTGACTGTCTCCTTCAGGCAACATCAAGGACTCATCTGACAATACAAGCAGCACTCTTTGTCTGAATTCTCATCTTAAAGCACATGACTTCCTTTTTTTAATTAAGTTGCTAACTTAATAACAGCCCTGTCTTTTAGAGTGCCAATTTAATGCCTGTAGATAAAATATGATGCAGTTATTAAAGAGCAGGTAGCAGCACACCCCATCATCTCCCTGAGTGAAGTGTGGGCCAATCCATCACAACATAAGACATTGTGTTCCAGCTGGTGCAAGGGAGTAGCAGATGGGGATGGGGAGTGCATTTCCAAACACAGAGCTAGTCGGTGGTGGTGCAATTTATCTGGGACATACAATTAGTTCAGGAAAAGCAGAGAGGTTTGAATAAATGAAATGAATTTTGTGTAAGTGGGCCTTGTCTGCATGCAGAAATCTTATTGGTATAACTCCAGCAAAATTGTACAGATCTGGGTGTGAAGCCCTATTTAGATACTTTCACTTGGTTTCAGGGTGACTGAATTACCAACGTCATCCATACTCAGACAGCCAAAGAACCTTTTGCATAAGCTTAACCTTTGCAACATATTCCTGTACCTGATACTGTCACAGCTTTATTCTCTAGTATGTTAACATAAGACTGCTGTTTCTTCTGAGCAAGTTCCACTTCGTTTTTCAGATTCATGTATCCCCTGGGCCTCCCTGAATCTGCTGAGCCCACAGAGAAATGCATTTTAGTTCAGTGAATTCATTGAGGTCCTCACTGCATCATGAAGACAGAAACCTGAGGTGAGTCAGCATTCAGAACACAGCAAAACATTCTTAACAGGTACCTTTAAAGTAAAGAGACAGAAGAGATATCTGAAATGCCCCAAAAGTGATCTCTGTTCATCTGACACAAACCAGGATTGAGTCTGTGAAATCCCAACTCCACCATCCATGGAGGTGAAGGAATCAAAACAAGATCTGAGTCCTCATGTGAAAATATTGCAGTTCACTCATTTTACCTCAGTTTTCTTGGTATATTTTCCAGATATGTGTGTATGTGTTTCTGATTTTATATCTATTATATAACTTTCATGAATTACTTGATTCCACCAGGACTGCTGTAGCCCAGATAGTTCTGTAGATGTTGTATCTTGATGGGGTCCAAGAGTACAGTAAATGATATGCAGCAGCATGCAAGGACTCAGAGTGCCTGAGATTAAAAAACAAAGAAATTTCAGTTTATCATTTTGTCTTTTCCATACGTAAAGCTGCCATAGGCCTGCTACAGGCCCTAATCCTCCTTGTCTGAAGCCAAATAACACAGAGAATCAAAATGCCTTTGCGAGCTTTGAAATGAAACAGTAAGAAGTCTAGAGAAGATAATTCCATTACAATCTTTATAGTTGGGCACATCCAGTATAGTCAATGAAGGAGATAGACAGTAATCTCAACCATAATTGCTTTTGAAAAGATTTGTTTATCTATTCTTTCCTTAGTCGCATATCCAGGCAACAGAATCACTCAAAAAATCAGAATTCTGCTGTATTTCTTACCCTTCCCCCCAACAATTTCTTCCCACATACTGTTATGTTGTCTTACAGTTCTCATCTCATCTCATTTAGTGGGAGCTATTGGGAATAGGCGAACGGTTGGACTGGATGATCTTTTAGGTCTTTTCCAACCTTGGTGATTCTATGATTCTATCTGGCCGTTTCTTGGTGCCCTAAAGAGTACTAGCTAAATGACAGATCTCCAGAAAAGTAAGAGCCTTGTTACTTTTTGCTTTGCTTTCCCTCCCTCCTGAAAACCACTATGGCCAAAACTGGAGCAGGGAAGCTGGTTATCAGAAACACATGCTTTGCATTGGTGAGAGTGAAGAAGGGCTGTGTGAGCTGTGTGGCACTGCACCCAGCCAGTCTCTGTGCTTGGTGGAGAGGCTTGATTGCAAGGGCTGCAAATTTAGAACAAGGGACAAGAGGGCACTGTCTCCTCCTGAGGCTGGTCTGTCAACCCTAGCAGATGAATAAAGATCAGTGTCACATAAATATTTCAGGTCTTCTTTGTTTGTTTTGGGTGTTGAGGCGATCAGTGCTGTCAATGGTTGACTATTAAAGTTATATCTGAACAAGGAGAAGTTATTAAACAGTCCCAAGAAAAGTTAACAGCAACTGAAATATCTCCTTCAGAGAATTTACTGAAGCAACACAGCAGAAGTTGAATAATGCCTCCCTTGGATTGTCTCTAGCTGGCTTCAAGTGGCCAAGTTCACTTAACACTGACCAATAAGGAATTGATCTCATCAGTTTTATCTCTGCAGCCACCTGCATGTACTCATTATTTGTACTCATTAGAGCAAACTCTGAAGAAGAGTAAGGCTAATGACCCAGTGTATCAGAGGAGCCGTCTGAAGCTCATGCCACCAGATCGATGGAACTGAGTTTTCAGATATGCTCATTACACCAGGCAGGAAGCCCAGGATGCTGACATGCTGTAGGGGAAGTCCACTCAGGTTGTGATACAGAGCATTTAGGTCTCTCGTGACTCAGAGATGGTGGAAGCACATAAACCTTGTCACTGATTCTCTTCTGTCCCCTTACCTACAGCTTCCTCCCATTGCCAAGCCAAGCAGATTTCAAATGCTGGAAGCATCCTGGTTCTGAAGCCTGCGTCCTGAAGGTAGCAAAGAAAGACAGTCTACTTTCTGCAGGGTTCAACCTTATAGACGTTCTCAAACAGAGCAAAAAACTGATGGGTATTGCTTCTGTTGGGGAAAAAAATAGCAGCGCTGTTTATAACAATGGCTTTATTTTTCTCCATTGGAGAGATTTGAAATGCAGAATAGTCAGCATTCCACAATTTCTGCCCACAAGCAAATATGAGATGGCTCCAAGATGCTTTACTTCCTTGTAATGCAGAAAATTTCTGCATTAAGAAAGCATTAGAAGCATTAGAAGCCAATTTTCTGAAAACTGGAGATGCAGCAGCGCACACAGCCCTTGGAGAGGAACCTTGTAAAGACAAGTGGAAGTGGAAGTAAATCAGGCTGCGCTGGAAACTGATGGGAACCCATAGCAATGAACAGAGTGATTGTTTCAAATAAATAGTTAAAACTTAAAAATACTAAGTTTTTCCAGGAGATCATCCCATAACCAATACTAGAAGGTGTTTTTCAGCCTCTGATTAAGCTATGTGTCTTTACAGGCATTTGGATACACTACAGTCATTTTAACAATTCTTCTCATTATAAAGCATGTGCAGAAATATTTGCTGATACATGCTTTTGCAGCTTTTTTGATGCACCAGTCTTCTACTGTAAGTAAAAACATAGCCTGCATTCAGTGATCAGCTGTCAGAGAGGGAAGGGAAGGAACTGGACAAGTGCATTTCAGCCGACTTCTACCACTAAGGACCTGAGAACAGTAATCCAAACCAGATGTAGGGAAAAAATGAGAGACCCATAAATACAGTCATTCTAATGCCTGTTTGATTTCCCACATTCATAAGTGCTTTACTGATGAAAATTGCAGTGTGTTCATGAAGCAAAGATCTGTGCTCATACTCATTTCTGCCCCACTCCTTGCTACCTTTGAACATAAATGTCTGTCACTTTCGCTTCTCTGCGATCTTTGCAGAGGGCTTGTCCTTTCCTTTCACACTGCTTCTTTTCCCATTTTCTCCTTCTTATTGATCTTCTTTTAGTTTCTTCTCTGCATTCGTGCACATTGCTTGTGCTCAGCTGCTTGGTTGGGGGCGCTTTGCAGCAGTGTTTCAGCCCACACTTGGAGTGCCCCCCTAACATGGTTCACCTGATTATCCATCCCCCCTCTCACCATCATTTGCTTCACCTAAAGAACAGCAAGCTGAATAGAAAGATGCACTCCAGCTGCTAGTGAGCAGTCGGTGTTTGGGGTACAACCAAAGTTTATCCGAGGTGTAAATGGCTGAAGCACACACAGTGTGGTCTTCACCGCATTTTGCTCTGTGAAACCAACCCAGAGCACTTCACCAAGCACTGACAGGACACAGCAAACACCAGGTGTGCCCACACTCTAAGGCCACTCTGCGCCCTATGAACACATCTGCCAGCTCATACCCTTGCTTTGTCAGCGTGCCGTTCTTTCCTGCTTCTTCCTCAAAATATCCTCTCTGCAGGGAGAGCAGCTCATCCACAGTCTCCCCTGCTCGCAGCTGCCTGCTGAGGACAGGAGGTGTCTGTGAGCTGCCAGGAAGGGGATGGCACGGGGACCCCAGCATCCCTGGCCCTTTTACAGCCTGAATAATTGTTCCTTCATGGCACAGCAGAGAAACACTGGTTTGTGTTTCAGCAAAGCACAGCTCTGCTGTTTTGGTCTGAAAGAAGAAATGTTTTCAGTCTCCACACAGTCAGACTCTTTGCATTTCAGACAAACGGACTCGTGAAGATTACTGAATTCTTCTCTCAAACTGTTGCAAAGCCCCAAGAAGGCTCCCCCTGCCCAGAGGAGGACCTCTCAGCCCCCACTGGTCTGTGTCTCTGTGGTATCTCATGCTTCTAAGACTCAGGCACCTTCTACATCCTACCTCCTGCCTTTGCCAGGAGCAAATGCTGGTGCAGGAAGCTCAGAGACCACCACCATCTCCTGCGGGGACAGGGACTGACTGCCCCGGTGGCTGTCCAGAATCAGCAATGAGCTCTGTTTCAAAACTGTTGCTGTCAGGTTTCTATGATTTTAGCCCGTGGCTTCTGCAGCACACTGGTAGCTCTTGGCAGCCTGAGGCAAGCCTCAGCATTGCTGCAGCACACAAATATTATCTTCTGGAAAAGAGCCATTCTTCTGGCCTCTGTCCCAATGCACTTGTTTTGTAATATGTGTCATGACTAAGCAGCAGAAATTAGCAAAACAGTGGGAACAAAAACCAAAAGTTTTGAGCCAAATGAAAAGCACTTCTGGTATTCGGTTTGTGAATTTGCACTCTCGAATAAAATCAGCAGTGGAGAGGGCAGAATAAAACCAAAGTGTGGGAGCTTGTAATGCAGACTCCACCAACACAGCCATCCGTTCCGAGCTCTGCGTGGTTTTTTAAGTGCACACATTCTAAATTACAAACCCAAGAACAAAAGCTAACAAAAAGATGTATTTTGACACTGATGTTTAAAGTGAGTCATGTAAAGTTATCCATATTTTCTGCATTAAGCACATTGATAAGCTGAGTTTTCTTTGAGACTAACTCAATAGATGACGATGCCATCACATCCAGAAGATCGAACAAGCATTTCTGTTCGCACGTGGCAGAGTGGGAGGTTTGTGCAAAGATGGACAAAGAAATATGCAGAAATATGAACAGATGCGAATGAAAACAAGGTGATTTGTTTGATAACGGTCACTCAGAAACATAACAGTGCTGAATGGGCATTTTTTTCACATTATCAGAAAGGTGATAAGAATATGTTATTATATTCTTGTCATCTTAGTAGTAGCTTAAATTCTATTTGTATGTTTCATATCTATGTGAAAACTTTACCTGAAGTGCATATAGTTACAATTACAGCTCCATATTCAACTGTCCCATGGGCAGTGGCTATCATAAATATCATTCAGAAACATATCTGCCCTTTTGTCAGCAAGAGAGAAGGCAAGGATGATGAAAAACTCTGAGATCCAGCTCAACTTGCACAGAGCCACCACGATGCAACACGGGCTGTAAAGCTCCTCATGCCCAGGGGCTTCAGTTGACGTCAGCCTTCAGCTCTGTGTGTCCATCAGGGCTTGGGGAGAGGAAACAGATTTGCACCTCCCTACTAATAGAAGTGTTTTCCAGCTGTGATTATGTATTTCACTGGACTTCAAACCTATAATCCACAGCTTTGTAGTGGCACTTGTAACGTAATTGCAAGCTGGTACATCTGATTGCAAAGATCACTGATAATTTTGCTGTTCTACTGATTTCTTTCTAGCATGATCATTCATTAATAAACTTCTTAATCAGTTTGCATCAAGCTTGCATCAGTTCGCATCTTGAGTCTCCAGCCTGCTGGGAAAGTGTCAAAGCTTGGCAGTAACTGCGTTAACAGCAGACTGAACCCAACATTTTCTTCAGCCTGCCAGTGTCCAATCGCCTGCCAAAACACAGTATGAAGTTAATCACTCATTACTTATTGCCCAAGTCCTTGATAATCTGCACAGCTGCCCTTGACTAGTAAAGAAATCTGAAGGCCAGAGCGTCCTTCCTCCAGAATCCAGGTTATCAGAAATTATTTCCAAATACTGCTGTCACAGCAGACCTCAGTGCAATGTGGGATTAACCTCTGGCAAATAGGCAGCTGGAAAACAGACACAAGTCTCAGGACAAACTCTCCCATACATCCTCCTACAAATGAATGAGGAAGGCTCATCACACTACTGGCACTACTGAACGTTTGGCAGAAACAAATGAATTGCTGTTTATACAGTCAGCAGTACCAAATTTCAGTATTCCCTGACCTGTAATTTCTTATTTTTCTGCTTCTACTAAAAATCAAGTTTGGCAAACATTAATCTTGTTTAATTGAAGTTGGAAAAGACTACTCTTAGTACAATGAGACAATTTTCTAAATGGAAGAGAAACTGGCACTGAATTCCAAATTTCATAAGGGAGCTTTTGGCTGCTGAATGGTCTCAAACATTTTGGCTTATTATTGGATACATGAGATCAAGCTTCAGACATTTGCCTTTAACATAGCAAGGCATCAAGCTTTACTTTGAAACTGAGTCAAAAACCTTTCATGACTTTATCTCGTTGTCTATAGCTCACATTTATCTACCCTTGCTTACATGTTTACATTCCTCTCTCATAAACATCTTTCTTCTTTTGCTGCAGGTAGCTGTTTCTACACAAAGTACAATTACCCCACATGTTTCAATTCAGGGGCACGCTGCCATTAATTGTAACATGTGTTAGACCCAAAGGAGTCTGAGGTGCTTCTGATACCTCCTCCTCCTTTGGTTCATGTATTTGAGTTCCAGCAGTTCCATTGGTGAACCCAGGGCCACCTTCAAGTTTTCACATGTCCATGCTCCCGGAGCAGTTCATTTAGCACCATGTTTACCAGCAATGTTGGAGACACTCAAAACCGGCGTGTTATGAACAGCTTTGATGGAAGTTTTTCTGGTTTGAGCAGAGGGCTGAAACCACCAGCCTGCAGTGGCTGCCCACATCAGTCATTCCAGTTGACAGTTGCCTTTCTGCAGGACCATAGCACCACACAACAATTTGGAGAAACAGGGACATCCTGAAGCCTCCAATCCAGCCCATTCATGTCCCCAGCAGGTTCAAATGTGGGTCACGGCTTTACCCTATGAAAGCTGGAAACCCTACAAGGAGGGAGATGACATCACCTCCCGTGGGCCCTACTCTCCAGATGGGGAAAGCTTTCCCTTCACTGCAGCCTCTATCCCTGCTCAGCTCACTGCACGAGGCTCAGGGCCTTGCTCCCAGAGCTGCCACAGCCCCATTGGTGTTGCTGCTGGGGCTCTGCCTGCTCAGGACTGCACAATGCTCCTGTCCAGTGGCAGTGGGGATCCCTGTGCTTTCCTCTCACTAGCCCAGGTCACTCTGGTCTCCTCCAGTTGGTAGTCACCTCAAAATTGACAAGGTGCAGTAGATCATCTCTGGGCAAAGTATAGGGATGTTGAAAAGCATAGGCCCCTGGTGTTCCACAGGATCAGACAGCTGCTCTAGGAGGACACATACCACGATATCCCCAGACAACTGAGCAAAACTGAGCAACCTACAACTCACCCAGAAAAAACTGTCGCTTTTCCAGCTGTCAGAGACCTTCCTTCACCTCTTCTATAAAGTATGTGAACACTGGAAGGTGGGAAGTTGTTGCTGAATTTCCTTACAAAAAAAAAAAAAAAAAGTAGAAATTTCTCTTTTCAATGACCCTTTATAAGTCTGCAAGCAACAGGAATTAGGATCAGAGAAGAATGCGACAGTAAAAATTCTCTAAAGGTCTATTTCCCTGGAAATCCAACTGGAAACAAAACGTTGCTGTAGGGTGTAAGGAATCAGAACACTGACAGAAGACATTCACTGATTTAGTCACTGATACAAGTGAACTAAAAACACATATAAAGTATTAAAGTATGGGATTAAAACTTTTCAATAGTTGAGGCTGAAATCTTACTTTTGGACAACAGAGGCCCACGGAGTCACTCTGGTGGAAATCAATGACTCCTTAACAGAAACAGAGAAACTAAATTTGGAGACTTTTAGAAACTTGTCATTTTAAAAGTAGTACAGTCAGACACCAAGTTAGCAGCATATGACTGGCTGTCAGTGAGAACCTGTATCTCACCATCTCAGGTATTTTTATTTTAACAAGAAAAAGGTTCCTTCTTTATTTAATGATAAATAATCATGATCCCATCAGATACATTCTATTAAAAAAAAAAGCACACAGCAGAAATTAAAATAAAAAAATTGGCATAAATTTTATTAGAACAGTATTTTTCCTGAGCAAGATTTACAACACAGCATGCAGTATTTAATAACTTACTTCACTATACATTCTGCACTAGTGACAGTTGTGCAATAAAAGTAGCAACTGACAGATTTCCAGCTTTTAGTCATTTCAAAGTGGCAGCATATTCCATAATCAGAGTTCTACTGTTAGTAGTTAGTAGTGTGAAGTTCCCAATGCCTGTGAAGCTGAAGTGATTAAATTCAGCAGCACACTTGAAGCTCTTCAGTCTTCGAACAGAGCTTCTGTATTAGAATTTCGAGATGAGTTCATGACATTATTTTTCACAGGCTTAGGCAACACAATCAGCAATCACAATCACAAAAACTTATCAATCAGCCTCTTTTATAATGGATAAACTGGCTGGAAACGCAAAGGGAAATTACATTGTTAGTAAGGCAAACAGAATGTCAGTACAAATAACTGAAATCACCACATTTCTGATAAGTTCTTTGGGTGAAATGCTGAGCTCGTATTGCAGGAGTCCAACATATGTGTACAGCACAAAAAGGGCCACGTGCTGTAACCAAGGTAACATAGCACAACTGATTTTTATTCACAGAAAATGGAGCCCGGCTGTGGCTGAATTCTTTTCAAAGCTTTAAGTATTTAGTTGTAAATTCTTCTTTTTCAGGAAACAGAAAGGAACTCTGGGCATACACAAACAAACAAACAAACAAACAAACAAACAAACAGCTTTTCTTTCAAGAAATGAATGCTGGATATTTCGGGAAAAAATGAAAGTCTGAGTTACCAACTAACTCACTGCATAAAAGAGACGCTGGACAGCTATCCTGAAAACAGAAACACACTTCTGTTACAGGGAAGGAATGTTACAAACAATCGTAAGCAATAAGGCAACAGCACCTTCTCAAATCATACGTGTAGCTCCTTTGCAGTGAAGACAGAGCTATACGGTTACACTAAAACACAAAACAAATACATTTCTGCTTTGTCCAAAAACAAATATACCACCACACAGCACAGATTAATCTCTGTTCTCAATATTACACACCAAACTTGCCCAAACTGTAAAAGAATAGGTCTGGTTAATCTGACACTGCAACCTTCACAGTTATTGGAGTTCTATACTTCTTTATTTTCAAGCAAAGCAAAGTTGAATATTTGCTGGCTGAACTAGTAAGATTGGCAAGATTATTGGCCTGAATTCACTTAGTAAAATGCTAATCATGCAAGCTCAAAGCTGTGCTGATCTCTTTATCGGGATTAATAAATATTAATCGCAGTGTAAAAAGAATTAGTTTTATCTTCCAGCGCGGCTATCACCCTGTTGTTCTTGGGGAAATTAGGGAAAAGCCTAATGCTTTAATCTGAACCTCATTCTAACTGCCAATAGACAAAGCAGCCACAGCAGTTTAGACACAAAGACTGATAACCGCTGTTGAATGACACAAAGTTTTCTGCTTTGTGCTTTGAACGAGCTCAATTATGCTGGATCACTAAACACTCAACCGCAGGATGGCTCAACAGCCTGTGACAGAATATTCTAGTTGGCAATTACATGCAGAAAGCTGCTTAAATAATGACACAATTCCAACGTGCAGGGTGCTACCATTTATGCTGCTAATAGCCAACACATTGCTCGCAGGAACAGCACTGCGGAGTACATGTAAAACAAACAAACAAACAACAAACCAAAAAACCAAAACAACTAAAAGCAGAAAACCAAGCTCCTGACCTTTAAAAGTCCTAATGAAGGAGTAAGTCGTGTTTTAAATGAAGATAAAGGAAGGCATATTTCAGAATTGTATCATATACAAAAGAATGCTTTAAAAAACTTTCTAAATCTCCTGAACCTCCCAGATTAGAGAGGATGCATCCGTTGGTTTTTTTTTTTTTGTGGAAACGCTGAAAATTCTGGCTCTGTACTGAGCAGGGGAAAACTGACACACCTGAAAGAAATTCGTGGGGAAAGAAAACAACAACGCCTTCCTTTATCCAAAACACATTCAAATTTACCTAGTGAGCCCATACAGCAAAGGGACTCCTGATCATGTTTACTTTTACTACTGAAAAAGCACACAGAAAAAACGGGTTCATCCAAATCATGCTCACCTAGCTAGGCTGATATTCCCCTTAACAAGACTGCTTCAGACGGCACCGCTACTCTGTTTCTACCCACCCCTCCTACATCAGGTCAATGATTGTCACAAGCCTGCTGCTCACACCGACAGATTGCTCTCAGCGCCATGCAATATTACACATTAACAGTGGAGAATTTTAAAAGGTCATTAGCATATCACGCTCTTGCACACTGATGTAGAATGGCCTCCCAAAGATGAAGGAATGCAGACCAGGTTTAATCTTCTCAGCCAAAGCCATTATTATGTTAAGATCGCCCTCTGCTGTTAGGTCGAGATCTATCTTTAAGCTACGAAGAGATTTAAAAGGTTTTTTTCCTTTCTGCCTGCAAGAAGATGAAAAGAAGATTCATACAAAAGAACAAAGTAAGTTTCTCGAAGCCTGCTTTCTGTTATAATCTGTTCACTTACGTGTCATCCTCTATGTATTTTATTAAAGTTAAAGCTTTTCTATGAAGGACTAGCAGGAACTGAGCAAGGAATGTACTCCTTAGAGATAAGCCAGGTTTCAGATGAAAGATCTGTTAAAAATTATATGAGAAAATTAGCTAGATGTAGAAATTCAAGAATCACTTTAAGAGCGTAGAATAAAAAGAAGCACTGCATACACATATACCACATCCCTGATTACAGTACAGTACGTGCATTAGCAGCAGATTCATGGACACATTGAAGATTCATTCTTACTTTGCTTGTTGTTCAGATGCAAGCAATCAATCTGTTTTACAATTCTATTTGGATGAAGTATTACTTTCACTTTAAAAATGGTCTGAAATGAATCTCAGTCTGGGAGGTGTTATTTTTTTTCAATAGTGTAAACACTGCTGTGCAGTAATAGAAAATATGCTTTGGTTTTATACATAACAAGGAGTTTCAGTATTATACCAATACCACAAATTACACAAGAGAGTTCTTTCTTTAATCACTTGTATTACCAGACCAACATTTCAAGTGCTCAGTTCTTGATGCCTTCTGCAGTACGCAGAAAACCATCACAGTATCAACTGGGATAACTACTGTAATACTTTGAAGAAAGAGGTGCCATAACAGCAAAAGTTAAACTAACACCATGATAAATTGTCACCAGATGTCAAAGCACTGTTCTCTAGTTCTTGTTCTTTCTAGAAAAGCAATTACTACCTGATCCAGGAAGGCTTTTACTAATGTGTCTCGATGCAGGATATCTTGAAAAACATTCCTAATGGAAAAAAAAAGGCAAAGAAACACATGATAATGCCATGAAAAGACAGTAAATGTCCAACAATTGTGCATAGTAATAACGTTACAATTTACAATCTGGCAGGAATGCAAAGTGCATTAAAAATTTTAGTGAATTATAATCCTGGTATGAAAGGTAGCACTTTCAGGAGAAATAAGCTAAAACCAGAAAAGCCATCGAGCTTTATCAAATACACTTAGCTCTGGCATAAATGGGTAATAATATTAACATAAATAAACATTTAAAAACGGGCAATAATATTAACATAATGCCATCAGAAACATCACAGAATTTCAGCAACCCTTAATGCAACAAAATGACTGTGAGAACTGATAAATTCCGCAAAACAAATTCAATTCCCAATTGCTTCTTAGAAGCAAAAAATCCTGTACTGTATCAGAAAGTACCCTTTACTATCTCGTCTCAAATCAAGCAACTTTCTGAAGTGTGGGAGCAGAGTACATACAAATCTGGTGTGAAGCTCTCATCTGTGTGGATAATAGGATCTTGAGACATTTCTTCATCTGAATTAGCTCTCCAAAATGCTGTCAGCTCAGACCTCATATACCGTCGTTGGTTGTAGATGTGTTCATGACAAGGGGGCATCTGCTTCACCGTATTGACATCTACATCTATGTGTGTAGTAGGGTATGGAGCATACATTACTTGACGGAAGGGCAACACAAAGCTTCCTGTTGCATCCTGTTTTTGGGGGGAAAAAAAGCTGTTTTTAATTTTTTTTTTAAAGCTATATTGGAACAAAACAGCATGAAAATATCAAGCCAATCTTTTAAATTCCATCTCTTTACACATATTTTGTTTGAGACAAACAGCAGTTGTAGTCATTAAAATATCCTTAACACTGCACAATTCCCTTAAAGTAACAGTGAAAGTAAGTCTTGAGGCAACCTGCGTATTACACTGCACTGTCTGCTTCCTGAACTCATTAGCATGACAGTATTATATTTATTTGTCAAGTTTAGACTGTTCTTTAGAGCAAGAAGCATTATTTTTCTATTTACCCTCAATAACTGCTGTAGCTCTTTCAAAATACTTGGAAACTGTAGTACTGACATAGGCCAGTTCTATTCTGGTCCTGTATCCTTTTTGGGACTCTAGTCCCAAGTAGGCAGCAGACTGTTACTCTCATACCTTGAAGAATAGGAATGATTCTAAACAATACACAGCAAAAGAAATCGTTGGGTCATAAAAAAGACTGGCTAGGAATTGTAACATCAAATAGTCACAGGCATAAGCTCTAGCATCAAGAAGAACTCAAGAGAAGATTACAAATTTCTTCAAACATGAATGTGTGTATAAACTTGCATATATATGTGCACACATGCACTCAAAAATGTTCTTAAACCACGGAGGAATAGAACTTTCCTAAATGTACTTACTTTGAGTAAACCTTGAACAAAAAGCCCTGACTCGTACTTGAAAGAAGACTCACTTCTACAGAGTCTGGAACATTTCCGCTCTGACGGGGTAAGGAACAGGCACAGCGTTCTCACAATCTGCATTGCAAAGAACAGTTTTGAAAAAGAAGAAGATTCCAGCAATTAACTGATCTTCACATGCAATTTCTGACTTAAACCTGTTGATTAGAAAAGACAAAACTTGAGTGACATCACAGAACGGCTGCATGTTTAAATAATTAAGATGCAAAAGATGGAAATCCAACTTCCTGCCAAATGAAGAAGAAAACCTAAACTTTTGGCAACTTTTTTTTAGCCAGCTACACAGAAGAAATAACTTGTCTTCCAATGCTTCTTCCTATTACAAAAACATGAATTACTGTAATTATTCCCTAGCCTTCTAAGCCACTCATTTTATTTACTCCCCATTGGAATGTCAACTATTGTCTCCAATAAGACACATCCAATTTTATAAGCATCCACACTTATTTCCTCATTAATTTCCTCAAACTCTCCATTAAAAGCAACAAAGACATTTAATTATTTCAAGCTCCTACACTGCAACAGCTGCAAGCAATCATCTCCAAACACAAACACATATTTCTCACATAGTCAAACACGTGTTTTGTTGCATGCAAGAAGCATTTTTGTTTGTTTGTATTGCTTTAACAAAAGCTAAGGTTACCATTAAGAAAGCAATTATTTTGGAACACAGCACCATAACAGCATGAGCACGTTACAGATAAAGATCCGTCTAAAATGCATGAAATTTGCTCTGCAGAGATCATGAGGCTCATATTTTTCCACAGCCTTTTTTTCCCAAAGCAGCCAGCTTATCAATATATGCGTTAATAATCATTCAGATCTTGAAGCCTCCTTGTTAGTTATTATGCTATCCTGGCAATGTGCAAAACCTACATCTCTGAAACCAAGTGTGCTAATAACTGTTAGCTGACTTCACATAAGAACAGAGTTTTCTTTTCTCTGGTTCTCTTGTTGCCCACAGTTATTTTTAATTGACCACCAGCACATATTGTTTATTTGATCAGAGGTGCTTGATCAGCACTGCCAAAGGCACATCAAACACCGCATTACTTCTCCATATTTTTGTAAAGCATCATGAGCTGCTTAATTTCAAGTCACAAAACTACTAAAGATGCTGAAAATTTTCAGAATCTTTTAACAAGACATGTTTTCCTGCAGCAAAGAACCCTAGATACTGTAAAATACATAGTATACTATTATATATGTATAATATAATGAATATATACTCAACAGGCTCAATGTTCTTAATTTTCATTTGACATCAAAGTAATATGAATATCAAAAAAGCACAGATTTCAAAAATTATAGAATAGGTTTCTTTCTCAAAGAGAGTTTTGAATCTCACTGAATGAACTAGAACTCAATTACTGTAGTATTACAATTAAAAGCAAAATCAGACAGAAAAGCTCAATATGCAGAAAGATTTCCTATCAAAAAATAAAGCTACCTGGACGTACTGCTTCTCCACATGTACCCTGACAGTAGCATTGTTATGGTCTTCAAGTATGGAACTATTGATAACACATTGCCCAGAGGCACCTGTGGAAATTGAGAGCTTACCAGGCTACATACCTACAAAGAGCTTTACTCTCACACAGTACTGGTGTACTTACTGTGTGCAGTGGTGCCTAATACCTGAAGGCTCATTTTTTATAAAATCCCTTTTCTTGCTCACGGTGCGGGGCTATCCTGAGTCAAAGAGTTTTATGAAAGGACTCAGCTATGAACAAAGAGAGGGAATTGATTTTGTGAAGTACGTTCTCTAAGAAAATAACAATTTCTTCACAATTTGCCTCTGAATATCCTAATTGAAAACTGACTTCAGTGGTTTTATTAGAGGAGATGGCTATCGTACAGCCTAATTAAATGCAAGACAAAAGCAAGCCTTTCTGAACAAAACACACATGCACTACAGTAACCTGTAAAGAAACATGCTAAGAAATATTTCAATGAACTGTAAACAGAAGAGTTATCTCCTCTAGCAACTGATTTCGATTCATATGAAAGTATCAACTTGGAATAATCAAAAAGCTGTGTACAAAAAACGTACCTGAAGAATTTCACATAAGGAAAACATCTTCCCTTGTTTTTTCCTTCACATACTCAGTAAGCTTAAAGTAAACACCAAGAAACTCTCCATATACGCATAAACATTAGAGAAGAAGCAGGTCAGGTTATAATTTCAAGTTGGTTCAAATTAAGTATTTGATAACAGACTTACAAGGGAGTTGAGAATAATAACAACATAGGAAAAAGCATGTCTACCAGAAAAATGTAATTATTTTCCTATTCTGGAATGACTGCTTCCAAGAGTGATCTTTTTTTCCTACATAGATCATAGTGATACCTACAGATTTCACACTTCTCCATTCAGAGGTACAGCTAATGCTGCTTTATTGTTTCTAACTTGAAATCTCCTGTGCATCATCCCTACTGATAAATTCTACACATATTTCAGCAAGTTTCTTTTGTTGCTATTGTCCTCAGCTTTTAGGGCTGGTACTCTCTGATTTCTCTGGAAGGTCTTCTGAGTCAAATCTACTCTGTACCAGTTAAACTGTACAGATATTTACTAATTAGGATTTAAACAGACAGCAGATGAAGAGTCAACACAAACACAAGTATGAAGACAAAAATGCTGGAACTGATAGTAATGGTTTAAGATTCCAGTACACTCGCTTGTTTTAATGTGTGCATGACTATGGACACAACAGCTTTGAAGTTCCACGAAGCACAAGCATTTCTTTCATTATGATGAAGCACATTTCTTCCTCAGAACAAGCAAAATTATGCAGATAATTATTTATTATACAATATCTGCTGACTTTGCTAAACTCAGTGAATCAGCTGCTACGTGTTCAGACTGTACATTTGAGGTAGCAAAGTTATTTTAGAGGTTCAGACTCATTTATTCCTCACTTACGTGCAGCATCAATTAAATTACACTCTCTGGTTCTCTTATAGTTGCCAGAATACAATTGACAAGGGAATTTTTAGGCAGAATTATCAACAGTAAGATAACCAAACAAAACATTCTCTCTTCCTACTGTAAGTATGCTTATAGACAAACCTTGTTACAATAATATGCTAACACTGCTGATAATCAGCATTTAAAATTCATTTATTGGAAAGTATATTACCTTATTAACTTTTTCTGCGCTGCTTCCTACAACTACAGAACAACCACAGGTCTGCAGATGTGAACTAATTGCACTGCAAATAAAAATAAATGTGGGTCAATGAATTCAATCAGACTTTTCAAATAAAGCCCTTATCATTTTAACAAGAATAATTAAGAGCTGCTAATCTAACTGCAGGCCTATACTACGGCCCTCACACATGCTGAAATCCAAAAGTTCGGCAGCATCTGTATTTTCACTTCAGTGAATAAAAAGATTGCAGGCCAGAACCACCCAACACCACTTACAGAGCTAACAAAAACTGTTACTATTTAGCTGTGTTACAGAATCCAAAATCTGGACAGTCAGAAAGCTTTCTCCAATATCTGTTAGTAGATGGACCCTATCTTACTAAGGGAGGCTTAGTGAGGTGATTAACCTGTTGTAATAAACACCTCTAATTTATAAGGACTATAACAGCTACATTTGGACTGTGAAATCCTAGAGGTGGACTTTATGCTGGACCTGACACTACTTATCATACCAATTTTATTTTAAAGGATTAGACTAAGGCCACGTGATTTCCTCCTTAGGGGTAGAAACAGGTGTTTGTTTCATTTTGAGGTTACCATAAAAGCATGACTGTATTTTACAGGTTAGTTTTGTTAATATGACAGTCCACTTAGCCTAATCCAATTTTTATTCAGTGGCACTCTTCCAAAGGAAGAGACCAAGTTGCTCTGAAGTGCAAATTCTTCTAGTTACACATTAAAAACAATTGGGGTGTGGTGGGAGTATAATTCAATAAAAAGTGCTCTATAGGCCATACTATCAATTAAACACAATTCTGTTTTTTGTTGTTTTTTGTTTGTTTGTTTGTTTGTTTGTTTTTTGGGGGGGTGGATTTTATAAAGACCTAAGCCTATGATTTACACACTCACAGACTTTAGGTATCAAAGAAGACTTGTATTTTATATGGATTCTGCTATCAAATGACCCTGTGACAATGGCCAGGCAGCCGCAGCTGTTAGCTCAGAGCCATTCTTTTAAGTAGAAAACAACTTTTATAGCATTTTGTAGACTAAAATCTCAAAAAGTCAAACATCTCATACCAGTTCATATGCCAATACAGATTTTATACACACATGTAAGTTTAATCCATGTCAGTGTGGCATAAAACAAAACTGAAATTCATACTTGAGGAGAAAGCCTTCATGACAGCTATCCCCAATGTCATCGTCGTTCAGTACTGTGTCACTGATCTGAAAACCAGAGAAATAAAAACAAAGATTAGAAAAAGATGTACATCTCAGAATTAAGTGATTTTTGATTCTGATAGGAGAGGACTGTTTAGGATCTATTTAAGACTGCCAGAAAAGCAGTTTTAAAAAGGACTTCTGACTTTGGCCAAAGCGTTTTGAAAACAACGAAGCAATTTGATTTTTAAACTTTTTTTCACCAATGATACAGATTCCTCTCAGTGTTTTTTTCCTAAAGCCTTGTCCAGAGTATTCTAACCTAGCCTATGTGACAAGATTTCTACTTCTTCCACATGAACACTAAACCACAGATACCAACATTAAAAGGTGAATACCTCTCCATTCATTTTGTTTTGAATCAAACAGCCTTTCCACACCACTCTTCCTTAGCAAGCATGTCAATCCACGCAGCCCATAGCTCTGACTATTAAAAATGCTGCAAGTACTATTCACCAAACTGAAACTGTTATGCCATTCCCTAGAGCACTTGGGATAACTTGAAGGGTACAGAAATTTATGACGTGTTTATTTTTCCTCCAAGGAGAGTACCAAATTGTACTGGCCAAGTCATTTTCTAATTCAGAATGCAAAGAAAACAGGGACTTACATCTATTTCTTCCGGAACACTGTGTGATTTCATAGATGAAAGGAGCTCCATCACAGGAATAACTTCTCCTGTTAGCATTGGAATGATGCTCTGGCCCTGTGCAGTAAATAAAACACTTGAAGTGCATTATAAGAAGTTACTAACAACCTAAACATGCAAAACGTATTTAATTTCCTATTGCATGGAAGTGTAGTTATCAGTGTCAACTGATCCACAGACTTCTTTGGCATTGCTCATCACCAATTGTGAACTGGAAACATGCATTTCACTTTTTAACATCATGTCTAAAATACACTTCTAAGGTGTTTTGCTGGTCAGTTTGTTTGGCCTACACAGGGCGTGTTTGGAATAAGATAATCTGAGCATTCCATACCACATGCAATTACTGTTAAACATTATAGATCCACAGTCTTACAGTAACAATGGAAGGAAAACAAAACCAGGCTATTGGTTATTAACATACAAAATCATGTCATCTTTCACAAGAAGCTGAAGCCACAATTCCACATTTAGTTTCAGAAACAGAATATTATACACTAATCCTACTACAGCATTCCAACAGGACATATTGTGTACATCTCTGTCACTTGAAAAGGTAACAACCTTTACATGAGGAGAGCATATACCTATGGAAGCTACTACCTTTACAAAGCTTCAAGTTCAAGTAAAAGACTTCCCCCTTCTGAAACATAACATTCTTCATAGATTTCCACTTCACCCACAAAGTGATGAAAATGTATATTCCTTCATTTTTTCATAGCTTCCATCATCCTGTCTTCAGAAAGGATGTCTTTTGTGCTTGTCAAGTCACCAGTCAGTCCAAAGTATCTTCTTGGATCTCAAAAATAAAAGGCAGCACCACCAACTTCTACTGTCACCAGATCCAGTCAAACAGTTTTGTGGTGATGTGCCATATGCATCTACCAGACACTCTTACCTGATCCTCCATTCTCTCCGTGCCTTCCAAGACAATCTTCTGGAAATGCTCTTGCCTCTCCTGAGCAAGAGAAGCAGTTAAAAATATAAATGCTCTGGTACTTGGATATATACGTATGCACACAACAGTCATATGGCACAATTTCTTGCCTGTAGAGTCATGCTTTCGATGTTCAAGTCTTTTTCTTTTACAGAGCTGACATTAGTAAGAAGTGGCTTCATTTTAAACAGATCAATGTTCTCTGCTCCAACCCCCACCAAACCTCTCGCATGCTTGGGCAGGAGTAGCAGATAACGGAGTGTGTGATGACAATGATAAACATTTTCTTCATTAAAGATCAAGAAAATGCCAAATGATCAGAATATGGTGCGGAACTCCATGAATTTCTATGGGTCAGATGGGTCAGGTACAGACTGATGGTTCCTGATACAGTTAAAAAAAAAAAAAAAGATTTCCAAAACAAGGAAAATTATGTTTGGGGAAGGCAGGAATACCAAGATTTTTTTTCCACATCTTGAGACACTGTCTTCAAAACATTGTCTTATAACCAACTACAGGAGACACAAAGCCTCAAACTACACAAAATACACTGTACAAAAGACAGGACAAAGTTCTCAAAAGAGACTCAGCAGCAGCTGAGCCTCAATCACTGGCACAACCAATTCCGCATGCAAAAAGAAAAAAGAAAGTATCTTTTACTATACGCTGAGACATTATTGCCTTTTTAGTGGTTACTTTTAGTCTCCTGGGACTGATCTGCTTGGAGTCGATCAAACTCAGGTAGGAAAAGAAACGCAACGCTTTTCAAACAGATGAATAGGTGACAAGCTGCAGCAAATTACCCTAAAACAGTTGTAAAACCTGCCTGACCATGTGAAAGAAGCTTCAGTGAAAAGTAATACTGGAACTAAGCAGATTCCTTTGGGGCACGGTGACATTCACTTTGACTTCAGAGTTGGTGAACTATGGCATATTCCTTAATGGCGACACTTTGCTTCAAAAATGTCAGTCTTCATGGAAAGCAGGCTGAACAAATATTAGCCACTTCTTTCTAGAAATGTAACTGCTATAAGCATTAGATAAACCTCCAGAACAAAATTCAGACAAATGTAAGTTTTCTCTTCCCATAAAGAAAACTTGCTTGAAGTTGCTTGTCTTTGCCAGAATGAATGCTGTTCCATGTCTTCCCTGGTCTTTGAGGTCAGGTTTCTTCTCCTCTACAGATCTGTCTGGAACTGTTGAGTGTCTCTACAGAGAGCTCATGAGAACTGAAAATCACTGCATCTACTAGAAATGCCAGAGCAGATACACAGTACCTTTCAGATACCTCCATTTTTTTTAATAGCCATATTTGCTGAACTACCTCAAAACAAGGAATCACAGTAATTAGGCCTGTTTTTATTCCATACTGTAATTCTACAATGCATGCTTAATTACATGCCTGCTATTTTCATCTTCTAGTTAGAGCTGCATGTGCAGATATATGCAGGCTTACTTTTCTTCTCTTCAAAATAAAATAAAATAAGACACTAAAGTGCCTTTTTTGGAATCTTTTGCTTTCTTTCCTTGATCTAACTGGCTAGCTACTTCATGGTCACCTGAAAAAGAATAACAAACAACAGGACTAATTTCAGAGGAATCTAGTAGAAAACATTTTGTCATTCCCAAAGCCACCTGAGGCCATTCCTAGTGTGGGAATAGATTGATACGGATCAATGTCCAAAAAGGGGGAAGATACGTAGCAGTTAAGAAGGACTGACAGCTCTTATCTGACCACTCACATTACAAGTCAGTGGGGAAGACACTAAATGACAAGAGGAGGAATAGGAGGAATGTAATCAAGAACAGAAGATAGTAATTTTGATACAAGCTAAAGTTCAGCAAAACAAAATAGCTTTTAGGAATGAAATATGTGTGTTTCTAGTCTACTGAAAATGAAGGCTTATATCCTATTCTTCCTCTGAAAAATAAACGTCGTTATCAAGGGTAGATGTGAAGGAAGACACTGCCAGCCACCATCAGGCAATACAGCAAGAAGCAATGGAAGTCGTTAGTGTAGCAGAGAGAAAATGACAATGCAGAATTTAACGTCAGCTTCTTATTTTTGGACTCTAAATTAGTTCAGATTAGAGAACTTAAGAAGGAAGTTTAAAATATGTTTATTAGAGGCCTCAAAACAGAACAGGAACAAACATCAGACAACTACACATCACCACACACATTACAACTGACATGCAACAAACTGCTCTAAGACAACTTGTACTCCATGAAGACAACAGAGATCCTTTTTTTATTTTAGTTTTTATTATTAGAATGTTATTTATTTTTAACAAAAAATACATAACAATTTTCTCTTAATGACCATTATGCACCCAAAGGTAAGAGCTGCAACTCTTAAAAGAAAGAATATTTTAATTTTTCCTTTTTCAGATTCAAAAAGTAGTAATAATTAATTATTAGTAGTGTTATAAAGTAATAATAGTATTAGTTTTGCATAATTTAACACCTGAACTCCTTGATGATACCCTTCTAGAGAAACAGAACTGAATACACATAGAATGACATTAATTCCATCAGTTCTCTTCATTAAATTCAAAAATGAAAAAAACTGATTTGAAATAGTAAATTTATAATACTGTCTGGTTTAAACACAACAGTTAACACAGTTAAAAGCAATTATTTAAATCAAATTCAGAGAGATGACAGATTGCACAAGACAGCCAATTTAACATAGTAGCCTGGTACATGCTTAAATAATACTATGTGGCTATAAAGGACAAATCACCAAGATAAAAATTCTAGCCTCAAATTTGGTGCCACACGGATAACATTTTACCTTCAAAATTCTGTATTTATACAGAAGTCAGCATTCTCTGAATTTTTGTGCATGGATTGCCACATAACAGGTGTCTCAAAACAGCTTTGCTCAAGACAGCTAGGACAACTGCTTTTAGTAATGAACAATAAACCTACCTTATGCATCCATATTCTTCCTTTCCTTATAATATGTGTTAATCTATCCACGCATACTCTGTGAAGAGGCAGGTAGAAGGAAAGTTCACTTTGTGGAAGTATAATCGATAGTCCGTATGTGCTTCTGTCTCCATTCCAGTTTCCATCAAAGATTAATGACACAATAATTACCCTTTTTTCTGCCAAGACAAAGAACTTCACATCTATTGCACCACTTTCTGCATTCCGAAGTATTTCTCCATTCAGGGTGTGGTTAGCAAGAAAAGTTATTTCACCGTCACTGAGAAGTACCTGATCTGTCTTTGGGGCCCAGATGTGCCGTACTCGGGGGCCAAGGATATTGTCCCAGTAAGCAAAAGTGGCAGCTAACAAAGGTGACTCGCCATTCATAGAGATCTCTGTTTTAGCAACTGCAGGAGATGGTGGTGGACACAGAGCTGACATGGCTGCTTCTTCTCTTGCAAGACAGCTCACATCACCTAGAATAGAAAGTTTTCTGGGGAAAAAGAAAGGGACAGTGATCATCATTACAACATTTTGGTTTGTTTCCAAACAAAACTTTAAAAGACAGCTCTGGCTTCTTCACCTAAGATTCCACCATAGGCTTTATTCAAGAAGGAAGTTCATATGCGTCCCTTCCTTATAACACTGCGTCAAAGAGACCTCAAGTAGCCTTTACTCACAGCACAAGCATGATGACTAATATTCAACTGCCGTAAGAAACCCGACAGACGGCAAGCACACAAAAAGGGGCCATCCCGGCGGCCGGGGTACAAGGCGAACCCTCAATCAGCAGCAGAACATAGCGATGGGAAGCGTGTCCCTTGGACACAAAGCCCACGGCACACACCCCAGCAGCTCCCAACGGCACCAAGTCGGGCGCTGAGTGACACCACAGAGTTCCACCTTCCTCGCAAGTCACAGCGACATACGCAGAACGCAAATTAGCACGAGTGGCTGTAAAAGCCAAAACGCGCTCATGGGGGCACGAAGGCCCACGGGCAGAGCCGGGCTCTGCACACAGCTGCCGCCCCGCCTTCCCACAGCCAGGCGCCGCCGAGGCCGCTCCTCCGGCCCCTTCCCAACAGCAACGCGCTGCGGGCCGCACCGCCCGACTGCACATCGATCAGCGTTATTTTTCACTTCCGAAAGGTCCCAAACCCTGTGCGGGCGGGTTCCCAAGTCCGGTCCTCCACCTGCCCTCCCTCCGCGAGCGGGAAGCCACGGCGACTGGCTGCCGCCACCGCCTCACCTGCGCGCCCACCGCCCGGCCTCACCGTGCCGCGCATGCGCCCTGAGTCACCCGCGCAGCTTCAGCCACAGCGCTGCGCATGCGCGGCACCGCCCTCCGCTGTGTAGGCGCCGCGGGACTGAGCGCTAAGGTGGGGGCGTGCTGGTTTCGGTCACCCCGCGATTCTCATTTGGCTGCTGTGTGAGGTACCCCTTCACAGAGGAAGTTTTGAATAAATTAGTATCTTAACAGGCTATGTGTGCAAAACAGTGAACGTGCAATGTTTTGGGCTTCTCTTTGTTTTGTAGAGAACAGCAAGTGCCTCGATGTTATTTCCACAGCGTATCAGGAAGAAAGTCGCTGCAGATGTTTGGTTTCTAGAGCTATCTGTTCATAGACAGCTTAAGGAGGAGCAAAACACATTCCTGTCTCTGGTTCTTGAAGATTGTAGAGTCACAGAATGGTCTCGGTTGAAAAGGAGCACAATGATCATGCAGTTCCAAACCCCTGCTCTGTGCAGGGTTGCCAACCAGCAGACCAGGCTGCCCAGAGCTGCATCCAGCCTGGCCTTGAATGCCTGCAGGGATGGGGCATCCACAGCCTCCTTGGGCAACTTGTTCCAGTGCCTCACCACCCTCTGTGTGAAAAACTTCCCCCTAATATCTAACGTAAACCTCCCCTGTCTCAGTTTAAAGCCATTCTCCCTTATCCTATCACTGTCCACCCTTGGAAATAGCCATTCCTTCACCTCTGCTGTCTTTAGAGAGCCCAAGTCAGGCAGGGCAGAGCAGCCTGGAATTGTCATTTCTGAATCACACCCTCTCAACCACAAAAATCACCCTTCTCAAAAGGCTGGTCATTTTAGGCATGTTAGGTTTACATTTGTGTGCAAGCAGTTTCTTCCCATGCCATGCAAAGAAGAAATGCATATCAACCTCTCCAGCTCATGTAGTTGTTGGCTATAAGCTCTATGGTATGCACTGGTACTGAGTATGGCATGTAGTGGTGCAGGAAGCATGGGCTTCAGGGTAAGTTTTGTCTCTAAAATGTCATGGAGCCTTGCATCAGACTCGTGTTGTTACTGCATCAGTTTCCCATTAGAAGATGCTTTAAGGATACTGGGTATTAAACCAAGTCATTGTATTTTGTGCCAAGAAACACCAGCACAAAGTAAATTTCTTTATTTTCTTTTGAAGTAATAGATGTGTCTCTAGCTGCCTGAATGCTGCTAATGGCAGTCTGTATGTCTGCCAGATGTAGCTGTATTGACCTTTTTTTCTTTTACTTCAGTTTTTAATATTTTATCCAGTCAGAGAGTAACAATCCCATTATATTATGAAATGAGGAGACTAATAATAATTCTGCAAGTGCATTTTGTGGGCACATCAGAGAAGTGGTGACAGGCTGCAGTGTAAGCGCAATTTTTTCCCCAGATATCTGGCTGCAAAACCTAATGCTGTGCATCTGCAAATAAGTTAATTAGAATGTGGAAGGCAGAAAACGAAAATGAGCTCAGGTCTGAGCACACGACAAAAAAGCACATTTCAATGCTGTTTATGTTTTCAGTAGGGCATCCTGCATCGTTATCATGACTGATGCCATATTTTAAGATTAGGGAGTGTGTTGGCAAGAAGGGAAGGGGACGAAACAGAAGATAGAAGAATTCAGCTACTCAACCTGGTTAAGATTACGTGAATACAGAGATGGAAGGATCGTAAAGTATTCCTTTGCTATTGTGCCACAATGGAATCCCTGGCATGTTCTCAGGCCAGATCTTGCACTCCCCGATCCCCAGCTTCCTACAGAAGAGGGAAGTGGGGAATTTCCACACTGTTCCTCTTAGCAGTTTAAGGCTATAGTTTCACACCCGTGTTTAAACAGTGAAGTACACTTTGCACTCTCTATCGTGCTTATGGAGTCTGTTTCTTTACTACTTTTAACTTCTTAGAGGAACCAGAGCAGGAGGCCATGCAAATTGGAGTTTGACCTGTGAATACGAATTAATTCCACACAAATCCTCATACTGATTCTACCCATATCTTACTAGTGGGTACTTACTTTGAGTGGTACTTTCATTATCATGTTAATTCTTTACAGTTCACTAAATGCACAGAGTTGGCAGTGTAAAGACCTCTTAATTCACGTGACAGAAGGCAGCCTGCAATTCTAGAGCTGTTCAGTGTAAGTTAATATTCAGGTGTAACTTCAGGGTCCAAAATTTTGGAGAGGCCAATTATTTTTTTTGCCAAGGGGACTCCTGACACTTTTTTTTCACCATCCTTTTTAATCACCTGCAAAGGGTGATTTAATTTCTGAAAGAGAAATGTGTGTACTCAATCCCAAGAGCAAATGTTGGTGTTATTGACAGAAAACTTATGCAAACAGCTGGTGCCTGGTGGAACAATCAGATGATACACCGGACATCCTGTGTCTGGAAAGATGGCCTGAAGTTTTACACAAGAACAATGCAGCTTTGTATGGGATGGGTAGATAAGGTGTGTTTCTAGGCAGTAAAGAAAATGAACCCCTGAGTAGTTGCTGAAACCACATTGCAATTCCTCTTAAGCTAGCACATATTTAAAAACAGGAAACCAAATTTAGTGTCTCTATATTGACTAGAAATAATTAAAATACCAAATTCCAGATGTAATACAGTGAGAGAGCTGTGACCATGTGGGATTTGAGATGTTTCTTGTTGATTCAAGGATGTTGATTCAAGGATGTTTTCCAAATACGGAAAGGCAGTGTCTCTTGCAGTAAGCCCCAGAGTAGCTTTATTATTTGACTTGTCCACTTTCCTCTTTCTGCTTCTATTAACTTTATCTGTACACCAGATCAAGCTCATCTATCTGAAAATAAATTTCTTTTCTTCTGAATAGACAGACAGACAAAACTAATTTTGAAAATGATGTACAGAAGCAAACAAATATTGTTATGTCATATTAAACTTAAGAATGATAAAATCATTGGACATAAGCCAAAACATTTTAAAATAAGAGATGCATACTTCGGGAAATTCTCAAATCTGAAGTAACAGAAAGTTACTTCTATGCATGTCATGAAGAAAAAGAGAGGATGAAGTATAACAACACTTCTTATTAGCTTTGCATAAACCACTTCTTCCTCAGGTTCACTTCTCCTCTTGAGTTTTACTTCTGTTTTCAAGGAAAACTGAGATACGTATTGCTGAGAATTTGTGGCAATGTGCTGTTTTTGAAAGCTGTAGATAGCTCCTGTAGTTTTCCATGGCCGGGCTTGCTGCTGGCTATCAAGATAGCTTAAAGGAATTCTGAACGAAGGAAATCTCATCCATTCCTCCATGTAAATGATCCAGTGCTACTCTATTAGGACAGGCAGATTTGGAAAAAAATTTCAAATCCTCTGTATGAGTGCATTGGCTTTATGTCTACTAAGGAGCAGAAGAGTGCAAAGTCTGTCATGGATCTTACACCTGCCCTGAAAGGTTCTCTTTTTGTACTGTCTTTTTGGATGTGGAACATTTCCTAAGCTTTGGCATATAAGTCTTTGAGACATATGATATTACTGTATTTCAAGGACTGTCTCGTTCCAATTGTAACAGAAAATTGTAATTCCTAAAAATAGACTTCACGCTCCTTGTCCCACTTCCACTTGAAAAGCGGTCACTGATTTTAAAGGTATCTGCTCCTCTGCTGGAATTGTTACTATTCTACTCATTCATCCACCCTGCATTCACCTGCTCTGAAAGTAATGCCTCCTATTTATTTCCACGGGAACTACAACAGATACAAAGAGTAATTCTGCTTGATGGGTTTCATTCTCAGTTATAAAGCACTATTTTTTAACACAGTCACCACTATTAGCTGTGCATTTTTACCAGCAATGAACAAGCGCCCCATATGCTGCACTTTTAACAATCTGTACCAGTGGAGGTGACCCACTGTCACCGCTGCTGAAACACAGCACCCACTGCCTCTCTGTGCTCACGTACACTGTTTGGTCTCTATAAACATTCAGCAAGTGTCAGAGAATGACAGTGGGTGCCATTTCTTCTACGTGGAGAAATTCACTTCCACAGTTTTGCTTTATATGTGCTTCCACGTCAGTTGCTATTTTGTCAGATTATGTCAGATTGCCCCTCTGCTGCCATCTTCAATACGGCAAAAAAGTGGAATGGAATATTGTTGGCAACGTTCATCCTTTACTGCCATACCACCAACATACACCTCTAATGTAATGGGCCAACATCATAAAATAGGAGGCATTACTTCTGGAGCAGCCCTTATACGTATGGGGGGTGCTTACTGTTCCTGAAGGAAAAATGCAACATAAAAAATTGTCATGTTGTCTCAAGATACACTGATGGAATGGCAGCACCAAACTTCAAATATTGCTTTGGAATGGGTAAGAGACTTGCTGTGGAGTCATGGGAAGCCATCTCCTGACAAAGGCTGGTAATGAGTTCTCTCATACAGTATCTAAGGTGAATGCTTATGGTTTGGTGCAAGCTTTCCCAGGGTAAAAGGTGGAAGGATTCCATTGTCAAGGGCTGAATCAAGGAAATGCAGTAAGGTCATACTGCTATCTCTGTCTTTTGGCCCAGTCTGCTGTAGTGTCATCAAAGAGCAGCACTCCAAAAGCAGTTTATGTAAGACTTTATATAAACTGATGGGACAAGGAAGATTCCTTAGGAGTTTTATCCAACGTCAGGCTCAAACTCCAGAGCAGGCAGAAAGTTCCTCCATTTGTTGTCCAGTCTGAACCTAGAAGTTACTAAGATCTCAGCTGCCACCAAAGCAGACATCATAAATATTCC